CAGCTTCATGCATCCACAGGAGACGGTATATATTAAAGATCGATCTCTGGATTTTACGTATCGATTTTGGATCAAAAGAATCGTGTGTTGTATTTTATATCCTTTTTAGATTCAATGTAAAATCTTATCTGTAAAGTAACTATTACATTTCAAATAAATGTAGGGGAGTAAAAAGTGCAATATTTCTATAAATATAATTACGAATACACGTACTAACGTACAAGTAGCTGATTGGTTTCCGATCAGCTGTTCTGAATTATGTTAAATTGGTGATTGGTCCCGGCCATAAAAAAGCTTTCAGTATGACCTTTACTCAACAGCTCTGAAGAACTCTATTGAAATGGTTTCCATGCAGTAAGTGACATGGTCAATGCATCTCCTTTCGTGTTAATTTAATGGTTTAATGATAAATGCATCAAAGATAATAGTCACTGTATTTGTGCTGTCATCGTATGTTTTGGCTGGAATTTAAGCTGACAGAAGGCCTTTACCCAATCATTCATAAAAGAACAATGATGACACATAGCTTTTTGTATGCGTGGGGGATTAGTCACGCTAGAAAATTTTCATACCAGTGTAAGTTCTGCCAGAACACCGCCAAATACTGGTGTTGTCGACTTTGAAATTGCTTCCCTTAGGCTACGTTTTGAAAAAAGGCTGAGACAGAGAGGCCCTGCTTTACTGTATTTTTCATGGCACACTGTTAAATTTGCACAGAAACACAGTTTTCACACAGCGTTTTCAGCAAGAGGAAGATTATAAAAACACAGCCATTTACCTTTTAATAGCTTTAAAAAAAAAAAAGACAATCCGCATACTGTAGTTAAGCTTTTCAGTCTAGACTCGGTAGGTCTAGTAAAAATGGAAAACAGGCCTCACGAAATTTTTATTTTCCATATACTTTAAGTATATAACTTGCCTGCAGAGAGAAGCTGGCTGAACTTAAACTGCTGCCATACTGGAGCTGTTTGTTTTGGCAAAAAATTTCCTCCCATAATCTTTTTGCATTTACATCATTTCTTTTTCCATGAGTCAGAAAATGTTAAAGTTGAGACATTTTCACTTGCAGGTGCTATTTATTTTTGTGGTTATCATTTTTGCTGTCACAGTGGCTTTAAACACAAATGGTGTTTCATGTCTGCAGTGAGACTCACTGAATTAATCAGATTTTTACAGAAAGTTACATAAGTATGAACATGTGGAATTACACAGATTGAATGAATGACTGAGTATTGTGGACTGCATAGCACCGCTGATACTGCCCACTGCAACAAGCCTTGTAAGGAACATTTTGTAGCTTTTATTATAGGTGCATTATGTAATATAACCAGTGCCTGAAATTAACACCTGCCAAGTGCCAAAGGTGAGTAGATTTTCTGTTTAAATCTCGGAAGGCTATCTGCCACACCGTTGGGTAAATGTTTGTACCAAAATAGTCATGTAATAATAAGCTATGTGGAGAGTCTCTGCCGTATTATGGTGTCATTTCCGGACACTGCCTGTAGCTATGCTAAAATTTACTCCTCTTTTCAGTGTGACAACAACATTTATGCTGATACAAGTGTCACAATTTCATGGTGTTTCTCTGAATTATAGCGAAAAATAATAATCATAAATATTACCCGACACGCAACTCTATAACTGCTGCTCCAGTGTTAAATATTAAATAAATGAGACATTCTGAATAGATAATCATATGTGATTGTTTTTTGCTTTGATCCATAAATAGGATGCATATTTAAACTTCTAAGTTTAAAAAAAAAAAAGAACTTTATTTACTTGTTTTGGTCTTTTATTGCCTTTTTAATTGATAGCGACAGCTGAAGATAGACAGGAAAGGGGGGGTAGAGAGAGGGGATGACACGCAGCAAAGGGCCGCAGGTCAGATTTGAACCCTGGGCCGCTGCAGCAAGGACTCTGTACATGGTCACCAGCTCTACCAGGTGAGCTAACCGGGCGCCCAACTTTTAAGTTTTGTAATTTGTTTTAAAATAATTCAGATTATAGATTAATCTAACGATTATTTTTTCTGTTAATTATCTATAATAAATGACTAACGACTAATTAATTATCAAAAATAGTTGCTGATTTTTTGATAGTTCAATCCAAAGTGAAGTTTATTGTTGCCTTTATATTTAAAAAGTTAAAAGTTGGTTATGCTGTAAAATGGCCTGCAGGGGGGATGTCCCTGTCTCCGATCCAAGTCATTTAATATTGAGTATGTGTTGATACGGAGTCCCGATCCAATACTGGTATTTTTTCCAAATTTTTTTTAATACAGTGCTCCGTGCTGAAGTACTTAAAATCAACCTAATGTATATTCTTGACAATTGAATAGCTGTACTTTGCATTAAGAAAGAAATGCCTCCATAAAAGCTGTTCCTTAATAGGGATTTTTTTACACAATAAAGTATAAAATAACAAACCCTCTCTGTAATCTTTTTGGTCTTATCGCTGTCTGGAGGGAGAATCTCTCTCCAGTGTTTGTTGCTGTAGTGCAGCCTTTTCCTGTGTTACCTGAATGAACAGTCTGTATTCTGCTGAGTGTGTATTTCCGTTGTCTGTACATCTTTTGCATGGATTACGTTAATTAGTTAATCTTACTGGCCTGTTGTTTGTGGGGCTTTTGTTGCACTTGTAGTGGTGTGTTGAGGGTGGTCGTGTTGGATCTCTACTGCTGTCTGTGCTCCGAGCAGAGGCAGCACCACCTGCGGTGAAACACTGCAGCGGGCGGTGCTTCTCTTGCTTTCACACTGACACAGAGCTCAGAGTGGAGAGGCAGACAGCGTAGAGAGTTGGTTATGGTTATGGCTGCACCGTGCGTGAACGCTTCGTGAGTAAAAACAGCTGATGTAAAACAAAGGATCAGATTAGGTCAATAAAACTCAACAAAGCCGATACTAACAGCTGTAACGACTGGCGCCGATACCAACCATTGAGATTGGATCGGCACATCCCTCATATCTCTTGACTTTGAGAATACACTCTGTTGCCACTTTTATTAGGTAAAATCGTCATGTAATGTCATAGAGGTGTTAATTCAGTTACCTGTTATGCTATGACCTCATGATAAATATATAATTAAATTAACACATTTCCGACAATGTAAAGCAAAACTGAAAGTTATAAAGCATCATCATCTTCACACAATAGATTCCAATAGTAACCTGTATAAAGAAGTATGAAATCTAATGCATTACTTTTTATTTAACTACTGGTGGTAATAAGGCCATGATTAAGTATAACAAAATGTTCCACAGAGGTGTTAAGTCCTCCCCTGTTACCCAGCACACTGTCACAGATTGGTTTCCCCAACTTTTAAAGTGCTTCCCAAAGACTATACTAAACCAAGCCATTGGCACAGAGAAGCTTGGTTTTACACTTTTAATGTATTGCAGACACATGCATACACATCTGAAAGTTTAAAGATGTGTGGCCTAAATTAGTATGAGCCTCTGGTTAAAGCTCTATGAGCCTGGTTCATAAGTTCGTTGGTATCATTGAGAAGCTGTCTGGTTCATTTCTTTAGTAAAGTGCAGTAGTTGGAGACATTTTCTCTTTTCAACAGCAGTATTTATTCACAGGTATTAAAATGCATAACAAGGTCCCATTGATAACCTGTGAATATAAACACAGCTTGTCTGGCTCGCACTGTCTGTCCAGACAATGTGGATCACATTACACAGGTGTATACAGTTGCTGTACACATTATGCAACTGGTGAAACCAACCAATGTGAAAAGAGTAATAGAAAGGGTAGTTGAAAAACCTGAAATGTAAATATATTTAAAACAGGAAATACAAAAAAATAAAAACACTAAAAAGAAATACTAAGAACTACTGCCAAAATACTTACAAGAAAATGTGAAATTGAAAAGGACAGTCTCTTCAATGAAACTGAAAAGAAAAAAATTAGCATAGCAGAAAAGGTAAAATGGATCAAATTAATTAAATGGAGTGCTTTCTTTTATACTTGGCCCCAGCGGATGAATCCCAGCTGTGGTGAGCCCTTGACCTTCTCTGTAGCACCACTGGGAGGTCAACAGTTTTGTTTATTACAAGATACAACTGACTGAATTCTCATGAAATATTCTTATTCTCTATTTATTTTTTATGAAACACAGTTTACAATCGTACATAGACTCTACCTTAAAATCTGTGAAGGAAGTATTAGGAAATCAAACAAACACTCAACCTTCAGTTTGTGCATACTGTATAATGGAGCTGACATTACTTTTTATTTAAGGTGAGCAATTTGAACTGAAAACCCTAAATGTTTTGTCATTGTAAACATTATCCAATTCACAGGCCTGTTTGCTGAGGCTTCTTGGACGTGTGTCATATCCAAAGAAAGGTGTATGTGGGCTCTGAAAAGGCTTGTTGTTGCTGTATTGGTGCGCTATTATTAGAAGACCAATTTCCCCTCTTTCCATAATATCAGTCATCCTGGCATAACTCTGTTTTGCTTGGTTGCATTTTGAGCACATTCTCTTGACAAGCCCTTTTATAGCCCTGTGCTGAAGTGGCAAGTTGTGTAATTTGGATATTTCTGAAATTAGAGCATTTGGGTGTCACAAAGCTGTGGAATTTATGCCATCAAAGGTCGCTTATGAACAGTTAAGCCACTCTGTTCTTCATGGCCAATAAGAAAATGTTGTCCTTTTTTTTTTTTTTTTTTTCTTTCCTTGAGATTACACTGTCACAGATACAATACCGTTTTGTTGATCCTGTGCATTTTTAATGCACACATCTCTTACGTATTACGGAAAAAAGGGGCTGGTTGTCTCACAGTTTGGCTTTTTCTAGACTTTCAATAGTTGTCAGATGCAGGCTACTGCTTATTATGTGCAGCTTGCTTTTAGGTAATTAGGTACCTAGGTAGGTGCAAATCAAAGCTGATACTATGAGTTGAGCAAGAAGTCGTGCCTGAATCAAGACCGTATCATTACAGGACAGTAAAATATAGTCTTGTCTGTCTCTCTGTTTATCTCCCTGATACAGAAGCACAGGCTCAGAGGAGGTGGAGTCATGAGTGCACAAGAGGCACCCAATCCTGGGAAGGAGCAGGCGGACGGTGGGAGTGCAGCCACAGATGGCCCCTCACCAACCTTAGGCCCAAAGTCCAAGAATACTAGTCCGCCACCTGTCACAATAAAGAAAGAGCCTGGAACCTCGGAGACGAGTAACGGCAAAGTGGGTGATGCCAACCCTGCTGAGATCTGCGTTGTTATTGGAGGAAATGATGGAGGAGCAAGTGGAGGTGGATCCCGTAGAGCTCAGACCGAGGGTATGTTTGCCCTTGGTACTCCTCCTCCAACGAAGAGCACAGACTCATGCATAGGTGTGTGAATATACATATGGATATATACACTTGCATTTCCTAACTGAAATCTTGTCTGGCGTCTCTCGACCCTGACCTTGCTTCCTGACTGACAAAACAACACGAACAAACTGCACAGCATTTAAAAATTACATTTAAAAGGTTTTTGCAGTGTCTCTTCAGAAACTATGTCCTGGTTACTCAGGGAAATCCACAGACCTAGCTGTAAGCGTTTTATATTGGAACTACTTTCTACAGAAGGCCCCCTATGAAAAGTGTTTTGTTGCTGTTGAATGTTTTATATGTAATTTTCCAATCCTGTGAGCACAAATGTGAAATGTCATTCACCTTCATTTTATGTAGTATTTAGTATTTAGTATTGGGGCAGCTAAAATCTTAACAACAGATATCTCAAAACTTGGGTGGATAAAGCCAAGAGTGCCTGCATGGCTGGAGACCGTACTATTAGGGGTAAACGAGAAAATTGTTGGGTTGTAACTTTTTGTTAAATGGACTGTACATTCAGTTTATTAGGTAAACATAGCTCAAACTAATCCAGGCCTGAAATAACCCTACTTTCATGAAGGTTGTAATATTTCTAATATTTAGTGTACATTGTTTATATAAATGAACAGAACAAAATATTAAAAAGATAATGCAAAATAACTCAACAACATCCAGAATTACTGCCTCCAAAATGAATAGAAATTAAATGAATGAAAATGAACATTAGATTAACTCCTCTAAAACAGTTTAAACTAGAATAAATATTATAGCCTGGGCTGCATTGGTTTTAGCTAGGTATATCCAATAAACAAGTAATTGATCAAAATTGTGTAAGATTATAAAGTTATACTTGAGAAAGTTTCACAGTTTTAATGGAGCACTATTTTGCATTTTTTGATGGCACACACATTTTGAGGACTATAAACAAAGGCTTTATATAACTGATACTGATCATCAGTTGCCTTGATTGGCCCTGATATCAATCGACATTCATATTGTTTAAATCAGTAATTCATATTTTTAGTAATTCTTCCCTTAAGTTGAAGATGTAGAAAACATTTAATATAATGTTGTGTAAACATCTAGTGCAAAGTGACGTTTATTTAGAACATTATTGGATTATTGGTAATATTTTTGATGAATATTTTTCTAATGTTATAATGTTACTCTGATGTTTTCTGTGATAGATATTACACAGTATACACAGTAGTTATGATGAGGATCACTAAGATAACGAGACAGAACTGAGTTCTTAAGTTTTATTATATCCTATTTACATGTACTCCTGATAATACTGCCACTTTGTTTTTATGACAGTGTTTTGAATTCTCATGCAGGTTCCTATGTATGTGGGGTATGTGGGAAGAAGTACAAGTACTATAACTGCTTTCAGACACACGTCAGGGCACACAGAGGTAAGAGACGTTATTATTTTTTTGTACCTATGTATTTACATAGTCTTTATGAAAGAGCCAAATAATAAGTGACTGCTCGCTGTGTTTTTCCTCTCTGGACAGTATGGTCCTAAAATTATTCACTTCGTCAACATGAGTCATGCATGTCCTGTTTTGGCCGGGAATTGTATTTAATTCATTTTATTTTTTTGGCCTCTGAATGGTTTTAATGTGAAGTGGAAGCCATGAGCAGATGTGAGCACACATTCATCTATTCACAGATTTCTCTAAGGCTGAATTATTTTTTATTTTTTTCTCCTACAGAATCCGAGAGCATGGTTGGAGACGGTCTACCCCCGACACCCAACAGTATGTACACTTCAGCACATTCATCCATTGAACACACTTAAATTTATTAGCATGCCAGCACAAGCTGTTGATTTCAAACTTGGCTTATTTAACAAACATTATGTTGTTTTAGTATATATCTTTTAAATCTTCTTAAAACCGCCCTAAAAACAATACAACACAACCTATAACTAAAGGTAGTACCTTAGTCTCTATGTGACTTGGCAGGCTAAAAGCCATATAATTTCCCCAATTGTCCCTCTCCCTCTCTCTCTCTCTCTCCCATCAGTCTTGTCTCCTCACTGTAGACGCCTTCCCATATGTGACATCCTAATGTCAAGTACTCGTAAGTAGGGCTGCAGCTATAAGTAAATTAAGTAATTGATTATTCCATTGATTAATCAGATAAGAAATATGTTTGCTTTATTTACGCAATTGTAGCAATAGTTAATATACAATAGAGAAAATAAGACAGGTCTTTTAAATTGGTTTCAGTGTTTCCTCTGATTTTTTTCCAGCAGCAGAGGAAAGGCTTCTGTTGTACCTCACTGAGCTGGTAGTGCAGTATTTTTAAAGTGGGGTATTAGTACTTTTACTTAAGTAAAGGATGTGATTCTTCCTCCACCCACAGCCTAACTGCAACTGCGTGTTACCAGCTAAACCTTCCCCTTTAAAGAAGGTGGGCTTGTGGGTAACCTGTGCTGGTTTGTAGTGGGAAGTGAGTCTTTCCCGGTGTGTGACGACTAGCAACATTACTTTACGTCAGGCAGAAATTGTGTGGATAAATCTCAGTTTGCAATATAGTAGTTACTGAAAGGGTGTGTGTTGTGTTTGCTGCCACACAAAATAAATAAAAAGTCCCTGTTTATGTAACGTTACTAATGTTTCATCTGGTATTGTTCACAGCTGAGTTGGTCCCATTGACAGTATATTGGTCTGCAGTTTGGACAGCTAATTAGCTAACTAGCAGGTACAAATCCAGTAGAGATGATTGATGGCGTTTTCTCTTGTGTTTTTTTTTTTCTTTTTTTTCGTGGATAAACAATGACTTAGTAGCTTTTTACAGTGAAGCACTGCATTATGCTTTTGTGCTCGGCTAGTTTGGTTTTACAGACACTCTGTACAGTTTTCATTTTGTTTTTGCTTAACAACTCTGGACACTTTGTGTTGTTTTCTCTGGCCTGTCTCTACGCCCCTCTCTCTTTAAAGCATGTTGTGCGACAGTAATAATCATCCGTGCAAAAGACAATGCACTGTACGGCTGTATATAGTTATATGGATTTAACAAAGCCTGATCTCTAGTAATCGAGTTACTCGAGGAACTCGAACTGTTTCAGCACTCAAGGCAACATCCAACTTAACCTCAGAATTTCTGGTACAGTCATGTCATATGTGGACACAGTGTTCTGATTGTCACAATATTTTGCTAATGAAATTAGCTTAGTTAAAGTTTAACAGAATTATTTCACCGGAACAAATTTAATACTGTGTCCTCACAGCCAAAAAACTCACACACTTGACTCTCAGGTAACGCTGTAAGTACTCTATAAAAGTATGCATGTATGGGGATGTTGTTCTTTTAATTGCATTTTATATCAGCTGCCTGGTCCTGCATTTATCAGGCATCTTAAAATCACTCCTAGGAATCACGGTGAAAGTTTGATTAGGACTAAAAATACTCCTACCTCAGTGTAGTACTTGAGTTATTTATAAAGCTTCCTACACACACTCTCAGCAATCATTACATGAATGTGCACATCGCTTAAAGGCAGCACTATCAACATGCCAGGGAGAAAAGAGCAATCATTTTAATGCAGACAGAACAAAAGTAATTCTTTTGGGCTCTATGAGGAATACAAATACAGTGTAACCAAAAGGTCTGTGACCGTGTTAATAAGTAGGCCAGAGAGGCTGCTTGGGGAAAAAAAAAAAAAAAAGGCCGATAGATTAAATTCTTAAGAGGATGGAACATCCTGTAAAGCATTTGGTTGATGCCACATATTTACACTTGATAATGACTGGCATGCCAATTTATGTAGTGTATTTGAAATGTAACTGGCTTCTATGAGCAGTCCAAGTTGCTTGAAAAGAACGAGGCAGCAAGTAAAGATAAAACAAGCTGAGGCAAATTACAACCTGTTTTAGTAGCAGTTAATTTGATATAGATAAATAAATGGAGTGATTGCCTCGGGAAGAATCTGTTCTACATGTCAGTGATCAAAAGAAAGTTTAAAGCTCAGGTTTAGGACAACAAAGTAAAGATATGACGTGTAAACTTGACTTTCAGCCTGCTTAACACCAGACTTGTTCTTAATAATTGGTAACTATAGCAACTTACTCTGGATCATTGCAAGAATTGCATTCTGTAACTTGGAAAATTAAGCCAGGGCAGCTGATAATAAGCCTGGATTTCCCAGTTAGTATGGCTTGTAAATGATCTCACTGTTGAAGAACTGTGGGCATATGATAAGTTTGAAAAGAAGAAGACAACACAGGCTGTAGTGTTGTGGAGGAGTTCTTGGAGTTGAAGAGAGTATTTTGGGAGCTCAGCTAGAACAAACTTTCCGAAGTTCTGACTAAGTGGGTGTTAAGACCAAAAACAGCCCTGTGTTTAAAAAAAAAAAAAATGCAGGCGTTAGTGGGGGTGTTTTAATTCAGGTATTGGTGAGACAATAAAATGCGATCCAGGAAGTCTAGTTGGACTAATAGGCCATGGATCTATTTAAATAACAGACACCAAAACACTGCAGAGTTTTATAATACTTGTACTATACTAGGCAGGATTTTACAACTTCAGAACGTTACCACACTGATAACTAATTAATTTGTATCTTTTATCTGTCATACTCTGCCAGGTAACAGCAGACATACTGCATTCACGTTACAAAGTAATATACCAGTAATTTAAAGTATTTGATTAGCCAATGCAGCCTTGTCAGATGACATTCAGACAAAAGTTGAGCCAGGTTCAACTTCTTTGCCAGGTTAAATGTTTTTTGCTCTTTGCTTAACCCTGCTGCGTCAACCAAGTGGTCCCATTCACATGATGCAATTACAGTAGGACTATTTTGATTTCTTTGGAATCATACTGAAAGTTAGACTAAGAATAACCGAGAGCTCAGCATGAAAGGTGGTTATGAAACTTCCTACACACACTCTCAGATTCTTATTTTTACACCATGGTCAACATAAAAATCAATTTACAAGTAATTATCAGTGTATTCAAAATATAACTCTGTCCTATTGATTGTGAAATCAAATGGAAAATGGATTTTGCATGTCAGCTTTGTAAAATTGGCAGCGTACAACCTTAACTTGAAAATGCAAACTTCACTTTGACATTTAAATGTGAAACATGTCGTGGCTTTTATCGCTTATCCAGTGGAAATCAAAGACCAGTTTGCATATTCATTTGAATAATGGCTGGGTATTCTGAAATATTTTAGTCATCCATCAAAACCAGTGGGCAGGATATAACCTTTAATGGCTTTAACTATTATTGAGCCAAATTAGAGGACATTCAAGGTTGACAAAGTTTGGACTTTTGGCTTGCTTGTTTTATGAGCCACTTGAAAATAAAGGGGAAACTAAGTAGTCTAATTGCAGATTGAATTTGTCTTTTAACTGTCCTTGCTTTCTTTGGGAGTATTTGTGTGTGGCTGTGTAATAGCCAGTGCACAGAAACATCAAGGTAAAGTCTAACCTACAAGGATCATGCATCCATAAGCAGTTATCTATGTTGTTACTGTGTTATTGATTTACTCAGAATGTGTCCTCACCTATGCTTGGAGCGGTGATGTTGTGTGAGGTTTAATTACACTGACAAATGCCAGGAACCCTCAAATTTGCGGAAAATAGTTTTAATCACGTTAATTGGTGGGGAATTATAGAATATGCATGGTATTGGAGCCTTGAGGTGTTATAAATGCAATTACAGTTAGGCACCCTAATAATCGCTTTTGTAGCTGTATTTCCTTGTTGCCAATTAAGCATAAATTGCAGGGATGCGTTTGCTGGGAAAGTGGAGAAACTAGTTGTTTTAAATCAACTGTGTTGGCTTTTCTCTGACCTCCTTTGCATCACTTTTATAGGACAGCCATCTACTTTTTTTTCTAAAATATTGAAAATACATTTTGCCAAAAAAAACTTTACTTTTTCAAGCAGACTTACGAAATCAGTCCAGAGTCGAATATTTTATTTTCCGCTTTAAAACATTTTGTACAGTATTTAAATGCATATTTAAAGTACCTCAGGAATTCAGCCAAAGATGCAGCTGATTGAATTACCAGAGGCAGAATGGACTGGAGGTTGTCGCTCAGCTGCTAAATGATAAAACATTTGTCACATGAGTGTGTGAGGGGAGGGGCCTTCTGCTGGGGCAACATCAGTTAGATATTATTATGGCGAGAAGACTAAACCTGAACCAACTATAGACATGGTTTGAAATAGATTTTGTCTTACAGTTGCTCCATGCAATGCTTTTTATGCAGCATATTGCCTTCAGACTTTACTGTCGTGTGCAATGAGGCAGGTATTCTTGTCAACAGTCACCTGGCTGCACGATGCTTTCCAATGCAATGAAACTAGCAAGAGCAGAACAAGTAATCTGCATCCTTCATGGCCCTCTACAGACTTTGCATGATGTAGTTCATGACAACATTTTAATTCAGTATTCCAGTTTGAATCATGTGCTAGCAGTATGTATGGTCTGACAAATTCCTGACAATTTCTATAATGCAGAATGACTAAAAACAGAACTTTACTCCTCTTTCTGTGACACTGTTATTCAGTCATCCCCAAAATACTGGTTTTCAGTGCCATTAATATCCATTATCTGCCTGCCTGTGTGCCAGTCACACATCCAACACAAATCATAAGCAATCTCTCTCCCTTTCTCTGTTCATCTGCAGGTAGCTTCCGTTATTCCTGTGACATCTGTGGCAAGAAGTATAAATACTACAGCTGCTTCCAGGAGCACCGTGACCTGCATGCAGTTGATGGTAACCAGGAGTTTTTGGACAATTTGTGTGACAATTTTTCTTTGAAGCTTCCAAAACTTGAACTCGAAAGTATATTATAAGTGAACTTCCCATTTCACACTGTCCTCTTGCTGCAGAATGTCTACCTCCTGCAATTGTAACAAAAGCTGAGTAGCATGGTAAAGAGGAGTAGATCAGGAACTTACTTGAACAAATACAAAATACACTTAAATTAGCAAAGGCCCAACTCTAGTGTGTCTGTCTTAGGTTGAGTGTATTTCAGTTAAGTTCCCACTTAAGTTTAGGTAAGTAAAGCCCACTATTTCAAATGTACAAAAATTTGACAAAATTACATGTATCCCCTTCTAACTAGCAGTTAAGTAGTATGAAGTCGGTGGGATGATGTAGTAGGTAGGATGGCAGAGAGAAGGTATACATATGTTAGAAAACACTGGGATAGCCTTGCCACACTCAACTGTAAGTAAAAAAGAAACATAAATGTGCTCTGAAATAAATGGTGGCTTACTTTTTCATATGATGTGTCCATGAAGCTAATGGGTGCTAGTCAAGTGTATCTAGGGACACAGTATTTAACTTTTTTCAGTTCTATCTACAATACACATTCTGTGATTTTGTTTGAATACACCGTTAAAAGGAAGAGCAAAGAGAATGTGGCATATGTGCACGTTCAAAATTAAATTTGACAAGGGAGCAAGAGGAGATTTTCTGAAATGTACAGTCGATGTCAGTGTGAAAATAATGTTTAATGTAAGTGTCTATTTCTCCCTCATCTCTCTCAGATCCATATGAACAGGTAGTGTTACCTGTGGACAGCCTTAAAGAGGAGGAGCCAGTTGAACCTTACCAGAAAATTGGACCAAGTAAGACTGTTTGATGCACTTTTTTTTCATTTAGTTCAGCAGACATACCGTGGCAAAACAAGATTACAGAATGTTCTATACATACTGTAGCAGCAAATGATACCCTCCAGAAGAAATGGATTAAATTGGATAATTTGTCACTGTAACCCATTTCTTCAAAATAATTTGATTTCATTTGTTTCATGTTATATTACAATGGTTATTTAGAAGAGAAAATCAGAAATCTGAGCCAAGAAATGTTTTCCTACTTGGCATTAAAATTCAAAATAGATTTTAGATGCATCCATCATTAGTTTGATTGCTCTTAACATGCCATACAGTTTGACATCTTGAAATCCACCTGTGTCCAGTTCAGTGCATTGGACACAGTTTTTCAGTCAACGACCTTAAGTCATGTTGGTGATCCATGTTAGGATAATAACACTAAGCATATGAGCTAACTCCACACTGGAAAGCTTTCAGAACATGAGTCCAAAAGTCCTCCTTCGCAGGGGAAAAAGCACTCGCCCACCTCCGCAGAGACCGCGGGTTCAACCGACGGCAGCGGGTGTCCCTTCAAACACAATTGGCAGTGTTCGCAGGTGGGAAGCCTGCACTTGTCACTGCACTAATGACTCCTACTGATTGGGGGGATAGCGTGAACCTGCACACACTGTGCAGGGAGACCCCCTGTGTTTTTATGTTCTCTAATATTGAGGTCTTGCTAAACGTAAACTTTCAAATGGGAATATTCAGACGGGAAACATTTTTATCAGAATCACCAACTCCTTCCTCTTCTCCACTCTATTAGGATCTCTTGTTTTCTGCTTGTGAAATAAGACATGATTACCAAAATGATTCTGTTCCTTTTTATTTAATTGAAAACAACTAATCCAACAAACTGGATCTTAATTGATATGATACAAACAGTGATGTGGATTTAGATGAAAGCAAAGGTTTGATTGTGTGTTTTCTCATCTGCAGAAACTGGGAGCTATGTTTGCGAGTTCTGTGGGAAGCAGTACAAGTACTTCAATCCATACCAGGAGCATGTTGCTCTTCACACACCAATGGGTGAGCTTATTTAGTTACTGCTTAAAGCAGCAAAGTGTGGGATTTGAAAATGTCCAACTCTTAGAATTTAGAGTCCCTATTTGATTTTACATATGTAGTCTCTTATAAACATGCATTATGGAGGAAGTACAAACTACGATTGACTCTGAGTATATATCTTGATGTAGGCTCCTTTGATATGAAGGCTTCACGGGTACAGGAATGTGGGAGCATGGATATGACTAAATTTGGCCACAGCCAAACTGGTAAGATAAAAAGTAAGCATCATTTCTTTTACATTTTTTAAGTAGCTTTGTTGATTGATTGTATAATTCTAAGTTTCAAGTTTGCATGCCACATAACCTCGACACACACGCACCTACACATATATACACGCACTCACACACATACACACACATAGTTGTTCGTGCTCCGGATGGTGACAAATTTAAATCCCTTATTGTCATATTTACAGATCATGTCCATTATATTTGTCATTGGTGTAGAACTTGAATGTTCTGTAAATGGTTGAGGGTGTCAACATGATAAATTGTAATATTGTTGGAAATGAATCAGGACAAAATTGAAAGGAGACTGATGTTGGTAAAGAAGGGAAAAAACACCTATGGGCTGTGCTGTGGAATCATGTATTTTTAAAATGGCAGACAGTCAGTTTACTATGATATTGGCATAGCTGGGTTTGAGGGCAGGGACTGCCACAATAATATCACAGTCCTGCTGTGAGGGCTTTGCAGAAATTCATAAGAGCATGCCTCACTGTGGCTAAAGTGTGTTACACTGAGCCAGTGGAAACAGGATATAAGAGAACCCTAAGAGATTGAATGTAAGGCTCTGGGTCACCTTGCCGCTGTATTTGTGGCAACCCTGCTGGAAACTATTAACCTTTAGTCAATGGTTAATTGCACAATTTAAGTGATGATACATTGAACGTTTTTCTTGTTATGTTTTTTTTTTTAATTGCCCCAAGCACCTAAACACATTAAAATTATGATTAAAAACATTAAAACGATATTTAATGCAGACTGCGCAGATTCTCTAATTTCTTGCTTAATGCATGTCTTATTAAAGCTGTTTTTTCCAGAGATTCACAATCTCAACAAAATACATTATACTATACTATAAATACAAGTAAAATTGGTTAAATCAAATACAGATAAATGCATTTTAGACTGTTATTTTAACATATTACATATAGACCATTGGCAGTAGAACATTTTAGATCATGTTACTCTGCTATATTGCTTCGCCAAAACTTTTGTCCAGCTGTCATAAATCCTTGATTTTTCTCCCAACTGGTACTGTATTTTGTGGTACATGACCCCCCCCCCATCTTTCTGCTAAGAAGTGCTCTGCCATAAAGAACTATTTAAAGCATGGCACACACTCACAGCTTAGAAGTGGGTCAAAAAGATGGAATGAAGAGGAGGAATTAAACTCATATTTAAATGTAATATGAACATTTGTATCCTTTTGTCAAGGCTGTTAGTGTGATTGATTTGCAGGCCGCAAACTAAAGTTTAGATTAATAAACTGCATGTCATTGACTTTGCTCCATCTTAACTGTTGTGTGGGTTCATAGTATGAATTAGGAATATTATCCACATTATTTAGCATGGGCATGTCACTCATTGTTTCTCCTGTGTTTTCACTTACAGACAGTCCATTCAGGCGGAAACTGGAAAGTGCAATTCAGTCTAGTCTGGTTGACACAAATAGCTCGCAAAATTCAAGCGGTAGGCACTGAGTCACTTTATTTTATGTGGATGTGTGTGTATTTGTGTGGAAATGTATCATTTCTGCTCGAACGGTGAAAAAGTATTTTCAGTTGCCCGGGCTGAAAATTGAGATGGGGTGGTGGAGGATGTAAAGAGGTTGGTGTGACCTACCTTGCATCAATTGTTACTATATAAAACTCAAGTCTAAGAGCTCTGTTATTATTATTCTACTCCATACTCAGACCATGAAAATGGAGACCTTGTTGAATACCATGTTGGATCACCTTTGGCACCGACGGCTGCCACATCATGGCAGTGACCCAAAAATAGACTTGTAATTAAAGGCTCTGAAAACACATTTTCTTAATCAGCCTCTTACTGTGAGCAATGCTGTCCTGAACACAAAATTGTCAGCAAAAGTAGCAAAAGTCTTAGTCGTTTCTCATTACAGTTTTCTGTCTGTGCTTTTCTCACTGGTTTGAAGCGGTTTGGGATGAGTTGGAAAAAGGTGACGTCACATTTCTGTGCGCCAATCAGCAATATTTGAATCAGAATCTAATGACAGTGTGTAGTTTGTTTGCTTATTTTGCCAGCCCACTGTCAATTTAAACCTGATCAAACCACACCCACTTAAAAAAAAAATACAGATACAGATTTTACCTTCGTTACTTAGATAGTGATACATTTCCAGGGTCTTTAAGTTAAAGCTGTCTATACACACGTCAAAGCTTCACTTAACTACTCAGAGTTGATGTGTGCCCTTCTTTGTGGATGCCTTTTCCACCTTCAGTAGTTTTACATGGATAACAGAGGTACTGCCAATCTGCTGTTATACCCTAAACAGACAAACATACACAACTGGTTCCCATACCACGAAAGTGTTTTATGATAACTGTTACTACTTGTTACATCTCCCACACTGAACTTCTATCTCCACTCCACCCAGCAAGCTTTTTGCTCTAGAAAAATAGAAACGCTACAGTGTCAATCAGGCTGAAACCAGCCTCTGTGGCATCCAAGATTAATAACTTTTTTTTAAAGTTTGATAGACTGCACTTGGTTTGTTCTCAGTCAATGTGGAATTGCTGTTTTGGGCTTGTTTTTTATAAAGTAACTTTAAACAGAAATAGAAATGGGAAGTAGACTTTTTCGCTATTATTGCGGTTCTGCTGTTCTGATCCCTGTGTGTATACGGTCTATGTATAGACTGATTTTATATTTATGTATTTGCTGATGATTCTCCATCTTTTTTGCACCTACTTGACACTTTCACATCCGTCTGCTTGTGATTTAGGAAAGTTGCAGTTTGCCTGGTGCTGGAATCAATCAATATGTGCCTGTAATAAATACAGTATTTATATTCATTGTATATACATTTTACATCACCATCAGTCACTGATCAAAATTTCTGTGATTACTCGTAATATTTGGTACCAGATCATAGTAATATTAGGAATAAATGCTCTTTTATTGCAAATCATGCTTGCCTTAAAAAAAAAATTAAAACGCTACATAAAGGCACTGAATAATCAAGGGAAAAGAGCGTCAGAGAAAGGCCCACTTTGTCTGTAGTTCTAACTCCCTGTCTATCATGTCCACAGGAACGCCGAGCCCTCTGGTGGCCACCTCCTTCTCTACAACCCAGAGTAAGTCCAACCCCACCTTCTTGCTCATGACAGACAGTATGCATGCTGCCTCCTTCTCATTTCACCCTTTTTTTTCTGTTACGCTTTATTTTTTGTTAATCTGTGATTGTTTGGTGCAAATAGTTTCTCTATAATCCATTGTGATTATACAGATTTTCTGCACTTAGCTTCATTATCACTAGGGAATGTCTGAACCGGATTGTTAACATTAGTCTTATTGTACATCTGCATTGCATTCAGACATAGTCGTGTGTTGTAATGACTGACAACTAAGCTGACTCATACTGTTACAGGGTTTTCTTTTGGCGGACTAATATTGATGGAAGAGCTGTGTACGATTTTTGAATGTTTTTATTTAAAGATGTAAACATTCCTTTGTTTATTATGTTTAGCCTTTTTGTGAGATAAGATATAGTACAAACAGACAGAAAATGAGGGGAAGGATAGAGAGTGGGAATGACATGCAACAAAGGCTTCCGGTCCGATTCAGGGACGTTGTGATATGTGGTCAGAACAAGGATGCTCAAACATACAACTTCTAAACATTACAGCAATTATTTAATATATTTTTAAGTACCACAAGAACTGCATCACTATTTTACCAAAATGCTGCTGCAGATTGGGTCACAAAAATCACAAAAGTAACAACATCTTGGTGGAAGTGACTTTCAGAGCTGCTGATCCAGTGTAGATAAGGGATAATAGAGACTAGTAGATGGACAGATGCACGGTGTATTAATTTTCTCCTCCGACAAAGAGTCAATGCTCTTCTGGGCCTTGTGATTTTTTAGAACCCTACACTTGTGGTGCCTGTGGCATCCAGTTCCAGTTCTACAACAACCTCCTGGAGCACATGCAGTCCCACGCTGGTGAGTCCACGACTACAAATGCATGTTAAGCTCAACAGGGAAAGAAATACAGAATGTGAACACACCCTTAATGGGTGCAGTGCATGTGAAAGTATGATCACACATTATTCTGAATTGTTTGTTGAGGTGTAGGCATTGAAGTCTTCCCTAATGAGGGTTGTTGGAGATCTGGTTCTGAGGCTGCTGGATGTGGTCCTTATGTTTTGTTGCAACCGCTTTAGTGCATCATACATGTAACCGTGTGTGTGTGTGTGTGTGTGTGTGTGTGTGTGTGTGTGTGTGTGTGTGTGTGTGTGTGTGTGTGTGTGTACAGTAGGTGCATTGTCTTCTAGTTATTTTATCAAATAAATTATTATTTGTTATTCCAATCTCAAGCAACCATAGCTAAAAGACACAACAAAATTATGCCGAATTGCCAACAAACAAAAAATAAACTTTTTTAACAATGGTGTGAAAACAAGGATAGAAAGCAAATACCCATATTTGAGATGCTGTAACCACCTAATGTGTGCTATCTTTACTTGATAAATGACTTAAGTGCAGTTTGTATACCCTCTTATGCATGAATCATGTTGCCTGTCCTTTGCATGCAGTCAGTTGTACAGTTATCATCTGGACAGTCTTAAAATACTGTTATCCAGACTTCACCCATGAAAACAAACTATATTTACACTAGTTGATAATTTATTATGATTTTTTTTTTTTTGCTGTTTGGCGTTTGCTGCTAGACTGACTTCATTTAATGACTTATTTGTGGCTGATCTTCTGTGAGAAATGACTAGGGAAAGCCTTCTCTTAACTTGCATGGCTGGTTTTGAGCGACTCAGAGAGGCTAAGTAATGTATTTTTGTATTTTCTTTTGCTGACAGTTGTGTTGTTTGGTTAATTTTGTATCATAATTTCATTCTTTACATTTTTCTCCACTGGAAACACTTAACATACACTTCCTCCATTAAAAGCGTATGCTATTGCCACCTCTGCCTGATGTTCCATCTCTGTATCTCCTCAGCGGACAACGAGAACCACACCAAAGGGGACTCTCCCAAAACCTCCTCAGCCTCCGGTCCTCAAGAGCCGCTGTGGAGAGGTTCTCAGGCTCAGACTCAGACTCAGACTCAGACTCAGACTCAGGCCCAGGCCCAGGCCCAGGCCCAGGCCCATTCCTCAGTTAAACTACAAATGCAGCCTCAAACTATCTCCCAGAGAAACCACACTCTCAGCCGTAAGTACTGCCATCAATTTATTTTCACATTGGTAGAGTTACTTTATATACAGGGCTATGAAAAGATTTGTACACACTTTGAGCCTTTGTATACCATGTTATAAAATTATTGAAATCTAAGTATGTACATCTGGTCTGTAGACATTGCCATGTCTTTATGGTTCTCTGTGATTCTGTATTTACTTTTCCCTTCTACAACATCTTGCGTTTTCAGCCAATATGTCAAATTCAAAAAACATCGACTAATTATCTTTATGTTTTGCTCTGCCTTCCTACCCATCCATCTGCTGTCTTTGCTGCCAGAGAATAATGGACTACCTGAGAAGGAGCGACAGCAGGTGGCTGAGCGCCTCTTACGGGTAATGTGTTCGGATCTGAGCATGCTAAATGTGCTCAACAGCAAGGACTTCCTGAAGTTGGCACAGACCCTAGTGGATACGGGTGCTCGTCATGGTGCCTACTCCACCCGTGATGCTTTTGGCAACATGAGTGCCTTGGCACTGCGCCAGCTGCCTCGCATGTACAACCAAGTCAAAGTCAAAGTCACGTGTGCTCTAGGCTCCAATGCTTCGCTTGGCATCGCTGTCACCTGCCACTCCCAGACATCAGGCCCAGATGCTTGCTATGTTCTTACAGCCTACCAGGTGGAAGGCTCGAGACTGAAGCGTTATGTGCTCGGTGTGAGGGAGGCTGAGCTGAGGGAAGGGCCTGAGCAGGTTCACCACTGGGTGCAGAATGTGCTGTCTGAGTTTGTAATGTCAGACATTCGCACTGTGTATGTCTCAGAGCCAAGAGTGTGGGGAGCAGGATTTGCGGGATCACCGCTTGGTGGCGGCGGACGCGGCAGGATATGCTTGCGATGCGCGGGGTGTTCACTCGGTGCAGTCGTTCAGGCTGTTCTCGGGAAGCGCAGCCTCCAAGCTCGAGGTCTCCATGAGTTGGCTGAGCTTCTCTCAACATGCCGAGATATCGCCTCTTCTTCCACACTGGCTCTTCGCGAGGACCAGTGCACCAACACATCCACAAGCACAACCGAGGAAGGTACACATAGCAGCCCTGCACAATTCCCCACACCTCCTTGCTGGGATCGTACGGCTGAAGCTCTTCTGCAGGTCCATGCCCACTTTGAACAGATTTGTGAGGCCTATGGACGCAGTAAGTCCACGGCTCCAATCCTCCAAGGTCTCAACAAGCATCTGCTAGGGACGCTGGCTTGTCTGCTGGCACCTCTACGTCTGGCAGCTCTGGAGCTGAGCAGTCAGAGGAGACCAACCTTACAGCAGGTGCTGCCCGTCTACCTGCGCTTGGAGAAGTTTTTCACATCCAAAGCTGGAGAGGCTGGAACCGGCACAGCTAGCAAACTCTGCCACTACTTTCTGGAAGCACTAAAGGAAAACTTTAAGGTACTGAACTGGTATTACATTAAGTTTCTTAAATGAACATTTGGCTGTCAAAGTGTTAAGATTCTTGAATTACTACATTTCTGTAAGGAATAGGGCAAGAAATTGTTGAGATCTACCGATCCTGGTATTGTGATACAATGCCAAGAGTTTCAGTGTTGTTATCCAAGTAATATGAATGCATATGAATAATACGTTTTAGGAAGAACTGACATTCATTGAAATGTTACCCTTGTTTCTAGGTTGAACGAGCCCACCAGGTAGCCATGGTCCTGGACCCCCAGCTCAAGCTACGTTCAGTGCCAGCCTACCAGCATGAAGACATAATCTCTCGTGCATGCGAAATGGCTGCTGATACCAGGGATGGAAGCATGACCGGTGGCGGAGGTTCAGGCGGCGAAGAGCGGGACACTGACGGCCCACCAACCCCTAAAATAAGCCGCGTAGAGGGAGGGGGAAACAATGGCGGCACCTCAAGGGGGACCTCCTCATCTTGCACAGTGTCTGGTAATGATGAGAGTCAGAGCCAAGTCAGACAAGAGATTTTTCAATACCTGGCTGAACCTCTTCTCCAAGGCACACCTGACCTCTTCCAGTACTGGAGCTCAGCAGTGGGTGACAAGTTCCCCAGGCTCGCTCGCCTGGCACTGTGGCTCCTCGCTGTGCCCGCTGTGGGCATACGCAGCGAGTGCGTGACTGTTTGTGAGCAGAGCCTGGCTATGAAGAGGAGGCAGCAGGTAACCGCTGAAGAGATGAACAAACTCATTTTCCTTCGCTCCAACATGGGCTAGGAGAGAAACCCAACCAACCCTAACCAACCAAACCTTCACCTCCAACCAATGACTTAAGACTATTATTTATATACTGTAGGTTTAGACCAACTGTAAACTTAAATGTGTATGGACATTAAATACTTCTCGAGACAGATATTTACAGGAAACTCACATTGTACAGGTTGCAAACACCCATTAAACAATACGGCTTATTACACATTTTATACAGAGAAAGGACTGTTGTAAAGTACAGTGGACAAAATGTAGGGGTGGAACGGTAACATTCAAAAGATTGTCCTGTTTGGTACGCCACCCTCGGTATGGGATGCACACGTAAGCAGGATGAGTTTCAGTCTTAACACGGCCAGTGATTTGAGTTACTCCAGCCTAATGACTAAACTGCTAAAAGGCTCTAATGCTGTTATTCTCACTGGATGGCAACATTTTCAGGTAAAGTCAGCTTTCACTGATTTGAAGCTACTGTCATAGACCTCTGAAAACACATATAGCAGTAAGGACTGTAGCATGTACAGTAAGTCGGAGAATGATCATTTTCATTGGTGTGTGACAAAAAACATTCAAGTGGTGAATTCTCACTGCCATTGCACCTCTGACAATTAGGTGTACTAGGATTATTATTTATTCACGTATCAATAAAAAATATATTTTTCATATAACATATTCAGCCATGGGAGATGGGTTAGGTTAAATGAGAGCTAAATCATTGCAGCTGATTTGACAGTTGCTTCAGTGGCCTAAAAATGTAGCTGTGGATCATTTGCATGGACTGGGCTACATGCATTATTCATATTTAAATGGGTAAAAAGCAGTTGATAAAACATTAATAATGATATGATGCTTTTCTTTTTGTTTATGTAAGAAATTGTAAAAGAAAATAAGTCAAAATTAACTCGAGAGGTTAACCCTAACCCTTATGCTGCTAGATATGCAAGTCAAATGGCTAGATTTGCACAGAACGGCCAGTGTCGCAAAGTTCAGTTGAATAAAATGCACAAAAATGTACATGCACAAAAAGGACAGCATCATATTAGTGCCTGTTTGTGGTCGGCCATTACGCTGATTTCATTCAGCCTTACCTATACAATAGCTGGGTTGCACCAACAGGAAATCAAATAACATGTTCAATAAATAAATCCTTATATTATCCTTTAATGCCTACAACCCAGCTTGTAATCACACAATAATGACATCTAGAGGCCATTTTGTCGGGCTTGATGATAGTTTCCAGTGCTGGTAGTTCAGGACTGGCACATCAGTGAGGTCTGTAAAAGAGACGCCTACAGTCAGCGATAAGTTGCTCTCAGATAGACAGCAGTAACGTTATTAGCCATCAGTTTGGTAAGCTCGTAGGCAAGGATTTAATTCATAATTGCATAAATCCTTGTGTGGTTGCCCACTGTGTGTGTGGGTGTGTGTGCGTGAGTGTGTGTGTGTGTGTGTGTGTTATGTACATGTTTTTTTTTTTTTTTGGTGTAAGCTTAATTAGTCTCGTCCATAGAAAATTTATTATTTTATTTATTCTTTCCTCATTTATCATTCTAATATAAGCATTGTCTTCCTTATATATACTACAAATTTCAATTTTTAAGGCAATAAGCTTTATCACAGGGCATAGTTTCCAACTTTCTCTACTAAAAATGACTGTTCTCATGACACTCCTACAGTTAATTATTAATGGTAAATTATTTTCTGTTTGTGAAATCAATGGGATTTTCTCAGGAATGAGTGCACCCACGTTGGCACCAACACTTTTTTCCTCACTGTACCGAAAACACACCAAACTGTGACCTCAATGCCGAGGTATGTACTGAACCGTGACTTTTGTGAAACGTTCCACCCCCCAAATGCAGTTAGTGCCATTTGCAACAAACGGAAAAATAGATCACTGAGGGTTTATTTTTTTCAGGATGAAGTGAATTCTGCAAGTACATTCACTAAAGTCAACACATGCATACTAACTTATTTTTTTATGGATTCTAATATACATTTACTCAAGCTGATACCTCCTAAAATGACTTGGATGAATGGAAGTTATACTGTAAATTTGTTTGTTGCCTTTGGTACTAATCAGTCAAGTACTAGTTTGTCATCTCTGTTTTTGGGCCTTAAGTCTCTTTCATGCGACCACCTTAAACCCTACAGTCAGAGCCAACATCATGCCTTTTTTATCGCTGTTAAATGGCCTTCTTTTCTTTTCTAAAGCTTATAGTTTTTTATTTTTCTTTCACTCATGTAGACTCAAAGGGACTTATGGCTGATGGTTGGAAACAGTGTCCTCTAGTGGTCAACTGTGGACTTCTTAAAATCATGGACAACTGTGGTGTTACACAAGTGCTTTATTCCAAAGTTCCCAAGTTTTAAAAAAGAAAATTGAACACCTTTTGGAGTAATCTCTTGGTTTATAAAACAAGTCAGGAATTATTTCAACAATAACACACCCAAGCACAAGTATCTATCACTGTATAAACCTATACTGAAAAGACTCCGTAGTAGATTAAAACCACATTTGCAGGTCTTCATTAGGGGTCGCACCAGAGCAGGAAGACATATCAGTACTGATTTTTATGGTATGAAACCTTTATTGGGTTTTGTTTATCACAATATTTGTGGTGCAACTTACATATTGTCTTTTGATCCTAAAGGGTAGAGTACAGTTACATACTCCATATGAATGAACAGGGAATGTCTCCACCTGCTTTGAATTAACTTTTTTTTGTGCCAGAGGCTGCGTCATCTACTCTGTATTCAAATATTAAACACTAATAGTCGTAACTGAATATATAAGCCCATTTTCATCAGCAAAAAACCTAATTTTATCACTTTTTGTCATGTTTCCCCTCTTTAGACCCCAGTATCACTTAAGGTATGGTCACCATTTCCTGTTTTGGTTTGATCTTCATGGGTCAGAGTTCATCTTTTGTTCAACTTTGACCTCAAAGATGTGCACAGAGAGCCAACAGTAAGACAGGTGAACTCTACTTGGACATGTAGAAGTCACTATGGTAGCCCTGTGCCAATTATGTTTAACATAAGGCTAATGTGACTGTAAGGACACAGGAAGTAAGGAGTTGGTACATTGCACATGGGAAATTTATAGAACATCAAAGAGAATGGTCTAGTGTAAAGCCAAGAACACATTTGTGGTCTCACAAGAATGATAATCTTCTACCTGAATGCAGTTGTGTCAATTTTCAGTTATATGATAAAAATGCTAATGTCAGTCAATCAAAGGTGAATGGCTTTGCATTTCAAACTGTTTCACAACTACATAAGATGTTTTTTAATAGACTCCTTACCTCCATTAATAACTTTGATTTAGTGTTTAATAAATGCTTTTCTGTCCTTTTAAGGGTAACTTAACACCAGGCTGAAAAACACTCTTCTGCTGCCCTCTTTGGTTGAAGCTTTTCAAGCCTGTTTCACCACATCCATCATCACCGATGGGTGTGGTCTGAAATGTGCTCTTTGGCACCTGTAACCGCACCTGTAATCAGACCCAACAGTGATGTCCTGGGGTCTTAGAATACACCTGTACATCACTGGATCCAGGTGAGAAGTTAAACCACTGGAGGTCAGCAAAGACAACATTGTCAGGGGGTGTTAAGTTTCAATATAATGATTTCTTTATTTGATTTTTTTTTTTATTTGGTTCTTGACAGGAATTATTATGATGTTCGGGTTGATTTAGTTACCCAACCTCAGTTGGAACAGTTAATCTGTTTTTTCCTCTGTAAGGCTTGGGAGAATGACTTAATTCAATGTAACCAAGACATACACTTTTTTCATTGTGATAATTTGCATTCCTGAAATCAATATGTATACTGCTGTTTTATGTCACACATTTATATTTTGGTAAAAAAAAAGAAGAAAAAAAATGAAAATAGGTGTAAATTATATTTTAAATTTAATTTTCTAAGTACCAATCAAATGTTTTACCTCAGTACTCAGAAGGTAATGTTGTAATTTCAAAATTGGAAATCAGCTGTTCATACAATATTTAGCTTTGGTCAAAGATACAGTCAAATTACTGTACATTGGTTTGTGATTTTAGCAATGATCCTCAATTGAACTGATGAAGGGATTTTTCTTACAGTTTTTAAATAAGTATTTTAAATAGAATATGCTCTGGGACAAAATGCCATTGTTGACGTAATGATGTCAACTTAATTTTACTTAGAAATAGTGTTCCTTTTGTTGATTAAATGAGAATTATATCTAAGATATGCATGCTTTTAATAAGAGTACTGATTATATAAAGTTGGAGCCAACATGATTCACTTGCATCTGATGACAAACACTGGCTTACGAGTAGACGTTACCTTAAGACACTCTATCAAGAGTCAGATAAGCAACCTGGACTGAATTTGAACCTTTCGAGGTGGTGGGAGTAGCGATGCTGATCATGGGTTGGTGTTTATGGGTTGACATCATCCATTTTCAGAGGATGTATTATGTAAATACAAGAGAACTGCTGTTTTTATGCCACAAGGGGGAGCCTTCATTTCAGAGATACAGTAGGGAACACCAATAACATTATACCTCTATTTTCTACAGTAGCATTTCAAAAGGTTTTGATATAATAGGAAACTCAACTTAGATACTGTTATTAGAAAACTGAAATCAGCTGTAAGTTTTATTTTGTTTCAGGATTTTAACTTATTCAGATAATAACTGTACAATATGGTATAAGAATGCTAACATGGAGATCAGTTCTGTTTAAACTATGGATTATAGTCTGTATTATCAATTCAGGTTAAGAAATTAGTGTTGCTTTCATCCTATTTTACAGGCATTACTTCCTTTTATACTCTGCTAAAATGCAAAAAATGTGTTTGATTCTATTCTTTTTTTATCGCACTTTGGCAGCAGATTCCTGTGTAGCTTCAGATCTCAGTTGTCTTATTAGTAAGCCTAATTTATACTTTTGTAGCAACACTATTTTTATATAATGGCAAAGAAAGGGTTCAGTGTCTTTTTTTTTTTTTTTTTGATTTGTTTTTTCCTGTGTCATATGTGGCAGCGCTGTTCAATGTTTCTTGAATACATTACCCACTGTAGTATGTGCTGTGTGAATAAACTCCAAATCTGTCAAACTTCTGTGTATGTGTTGAGGGAGAAAAGGATGTTAAAGGACCTGGGAAGTATTTTAATGCCAAAAAAAGTCTAGTTTTATCCCTGTATGAGTGTGTATTCAAGGGTTAGACTGAAACTAAAAAAGCTTTAAACTCCCTTTGCACGCATTTCATTTGAATTAGTTTCTTTTTCAGTCAAGGGGTGACGTAAACAGTTTTAGAAAACCGGCTTCTGTATTTATGAATCAAAAGAACCTAAGAAAATATTTGACAATCTTCCTGTAGAAGGAGGTCGGTTGCTTATTTTCAGTATGAATGAGGACTCCCACCCAGAGAGAAATGAAGCAGAGCTTTCCACAGTGGCTGAGAGGGGAAAGACGGAGGGCCTCAAAACACATGTAGAGGGGAAAGAGGCCCTGTATGAGGGCAGAGCGATTGAAGACTCGCACATGGGGAGTGAATATACAGAGGCTGCTTAGAGGTGCGTGCAAGGGTTCTCCAGGGGCTGCGGATAGGGTGAAGGAGTGAGAAAGAAATGAGTGGGAGAGAGAGAGAGTGAGCAAGTGTTCATCGCAGCCCTGATGTCTTTCTCCCTCTTGCACCCAGGTCAGTAAGCCCCCCCCCCCCAAGGTGCAGCAGTCTGCAGCCATGCAGAAAAACCCACACTTGTCTCCTCGGCTGCTCCCGACACGAGGGCTGCTTACCAAAAGCTTAATTTGCAGCACATGCATCCAAGTTTGCCCCACCACCAACCCTCCTCACCCACTACAAACGCACACACACACACACACACACACACACACACACACACACACACACAATACAAACTCTTACCTTCCTCCACACCCCACTGCTGAAGGTGATGGTTTTTCCACAAGCTGTTACTACAATGACATGCTAAGTTTGTTTTTGCTTACAGCTCGCAAGTGTTTGTGAGCTGGCCCTCCTTTTTTTTTTTTTCAGTCATTTAGAAAAAGCAAAATGTGGAGAAAACAACCCGCCCATTGGAAACGGACAATTCCTTCCATTTTGTTCTGGGTTAAGGGAAAGTTTCAGATCAGCTCTTTCTCAGTATGTGAGTCTGCTTTGCAATCAGCATACATCCACACAATATATAATGTTAGCAGAAGAAGTTTATTTTTTTCTTTCTTTACTGGGTGTCATTGTTCAAGTTCTAAAATGATGAACTTGGGCTTTGACTGCATTGGGAGTGAGAAATGCAGCAGCAGCTGAATGTAAAGAGGGTTCCCTCTGTGTACCAGTATGTGAACACTAGGTGGCAGTATCTGGCTTTTTATCAGCTACAGAGTGGACAAAAGGAAAGCGTCACCCAGATGCAATCCATTATAGCAACATTACAAACTAAGGCTTCAGAAGTTAACATAGATTTGACAACAAACGGTGTAACTTAAGGTGATTTTACACTGCATTATATCGCACGTGTGTAGCTTTTGATAACTGGAAACAAGCTCCAGGTAACCCAGGTGAGACAAAGACAGCCAGAAGCCCATCCAATAATCTTAAAACAATTTTGAATTTTGGCTTCTATTGCTGTGTTTAATGGGTTTAAACAGTATTAATTATAGCAGGAGTCAAACAGGAGTCCAGCCCCACTTCCACAATTAAGAAAGGGAGGTGAGGATTGCATGTTCGGGGACAATGAGTGAAATCCAGAGCACCTGAAAAAGTCCCCTAACAGCAAGAAAACATGAAAACACAAGAAAAACAGGCAGAGTCAATTTCAAAGCCATGAATCAATCAGCTATTATGCAGCACTGTACCTATATCATTTACGCTTCATGTTGACCATCTGCACTACTACACTTCAACAGTTTTTGTCAGTGTTCTGTTGGTTAGCGCTGACCAATTGTAGCCCCTGCAGCTGCAGTGTTTTGCTTTACCCAGTGAGACACATGTAGCCATCCAGCTACATTTACAGTAACAGAGGAAGTTCTGTAAACTTCCCTTTGCCCTTGGCTGTTACACAACCAAAAGAGAGGCATCCAGGTTTCGTTTTCCAAGCCCTAATCAGGCGGTGCCACGCAGCTCTGCTCCCACCTCTGTCATTGACAAGGTTGGCACCTTCACCCCTGCCCAACCAATGGCCATCACAGCTGTCCCGACTTGTATGCTCAGTGAGCACTGGAGGGACAGGGAAGGACAGGCGGAAGGAAGTGTTCTCATCCTCCTCTCCCTGTCCTGTATGGAGGACCCGGTGGCACCGGCACTGTAGTTTCTCCTGCTCAGCAGGTGCTGACTTTTATCAGTAGTGACATGAATGTACAGAACTGCCAGGGCACATCCACCCAGTTGCTGTCAGGTGTCGTTCCAGCTAACACTCCACCTAGCCCCTGACCTCACAGGCACCCAGTGTGCCTGTCTATTCGCCTGCCTGCTCTGCTCCCTCTGCACACCTGCCCATATATACATGCACGCACATCATACACTCACTCAGATTAAAGTCTTTCTCACATAAGCCAAAAAGATTGACACATTGGCTTCTCATTTACCTCTCAGAGTTTCTGGGTTCTGCCCAAAGCCACATATGATACAATAATGATGTAACACTGACAAACAGTGTCCAGGTGTTTTTGTACCCCCTCATAATGTACAGGTGCTGGCAACATCTTCCCTGAAAGAAAGAACACACAGTCTGCAAGGCTTGTGATGAGGAATTTCACTGCCTATTACAGTCGGCAGAGAAGCATTTGAATATTTCATATCTATGTCAGAGTTATGAGATGACGCTGAAGTGTGAAAATATGATGTTTGACTCTTGGCTGAAGAAAGGCAAGTATGGTCACTGTGAAAAAGGAGGTCAAGGTTAAATTTGCTCTGTGGATATAAATAGCCCTTCAATGATGTCCCCCTGATCTCACCGTTATTATTTATTAATCGTTGTCATGATCTGGGGAGCACATCCAGTCTCACCATGCAATTTCAGACAGCTGAAGACAATGACAAGAGGAGGACAGAGCATCCAACCTGAATTTTAGACCCTTACAATGAAACCCATATATTTTGGGGTTTAGTGAAACAGGCCAATTTGTTTTGTGCAAAGACGTAATTGCCCTTTTGTTAGACTGCCATATTCAGGATTGCTGACGCTAGTCTTTACAACCATTGTATTGCCAGGGCCTATCTGTGGTTATGTTCCCGACATGACTCTGCCTTTTGTTAAGTTTTTTTTTTTTTCATTGACATAATTTCTGTATTCTACGAATCATTTGCACCAAGAGAACCTTTAGGCTTGACAAGTAACATTGCACATACCAATACAATTGTGTTATTTGGCTGGAAAAATATTACAAAATGTCAGAAGTTGAAAGTAATCAACTCCTCTGTCTTGGCTTGTTATACAATATGTTCCTTTTGATGCCTTTTTTTTCTCACTCCACTGTTTTGTCTACTCTTTAGTGTCTGCACAGTTTTCAGCTCAATCAGTTCACCTTCTGCTACACCTTTCAAACTTCTTTCCCTGCAAATGAGTTGTCAGGCAGGGTCCCCTGGGCTGTGTCGACAGCTCACTAAGCTAAAACATATACCATGTACTTGTAACATTGTGAATTTAAATCAGTTCATGACCTGTTTGTTCTTCCATTTCATCTCCCTCCTCCCTAGTTTAGAAATCTATTCCCCACAGCATGTAATTGTTATACAATAATGCAAAAGAGCATGCTGATTTTGCAGTATTTGTAAACTAGTTCTCTCTTTTGATCAGTGAATTATAGATTTGAAAAAATAGCATCATTCAGGTCTGTGAAAGCGTTTTTCTTTTAATGGAATATGTCAACATTTTGGGAAATACACTTATTCGTTCTCATGCCGAGAGTTAGGTCTGTCTGTTAAATATGAAGCTGGAGCCAGTAGTCTTTTAGCTTAGCTTAGCATAAAGACTGGAAGCAGAGGGGTGCAGCTATAACGACTCCAAAGGAAAAAAAACAGCACACCCAAAACCTCACTAATTGATATGTTATATCTCTTTATTAAATATGCACAAAGTGTAAAAATTACTTTTTTTGACAGTTAGTAGCAGACTATTTCTGTGCAGCAACGAGTGCAGCGACGAGTCAAAGAAGTCACTGCCCCCAGCAAAGAAATAGTCACCGTCCCTTTAGAGGTCACGGCTGGTAGATTTTTATTTTTATCTTTTACCTTTGGACAGTGCTAGCTGCAGGCTAATTGTTTCCCCCTGCTTCCAGTGTTTGTGCTAAGCCAAGCTAAATGTAATACAGCAGTGAAGTGAAAGTAGTTTTGCGAGTGACTTCCTTCGTCTGGCAGTCCAAGTGTCATCACTTAAGTATACTGTTCCACCTGATTTTAGAGCATTCAAATTGTATTACAAACCTTTTAAATCTGTTTTATTGCTGCATGTCATGACTGTGTTATTAGGATATTGCCCTTAGTTTTAAATAATTATCTTTTACCACAAACCAGTACAGACCAGCTCGCTCTTTATGCTTGGCTCTCCGCCAACTAATGTCATGTGAGGCGTCACTCTGGAGCTGAGGTAAAGAAAGTACATTTTTAATGATTTAGCATCAAGTGCCTTTCTATTCTATATTCCATCATCTCATTTCCATGATTTGTAACTACTTGGTGGCTGGAATGATTCCTTAGGGAGAATAATTCCTTGGCACAGAAGCAGACACTCAATTGAAAATACACACTGGGCAATTTTAATTTGAGAGGATACTGAAAAATGACCCATTTATTAAGCCTGTTTGATAATCAAAGCTAATGGATCATTTCAATTTCCTTAACTCTGCAACTGCTAAAAGGAAATGTGGAGAGGCTGCCTGTGTCTTGTAATCTGGATATTTGAAATGAGGTGATTTATAATTAAATGGAGGTATGCGTTTGTAATCGTAAAGCTTAATTGTTTGAGTTATTTTGTAAAAAGCAGGGTTTTTGCACTGTAAGGATTTGAGATGAATGGCTGCTCCTGCATATATTAACCTTTTGTTAAAAATTATTGCTACCACTAAAAAAAGACAAAGATGACCAGTGCTTACGTGTGT